AGGCAATGCACATTGCTCCTCTTGCTCCAAAAGTTTACAAAACTTCACCAATGAGTTTTAATGACATAAATAAGTCCTAATATCATTATTTCATCTCATTTAATTCATATATTATTTATGAATTGGTGTTTAATACATTTATACATCATAAATCTATATGGAAGCTCGTGTAGACATTCACCATTAACAAGGGTCCATATGTTCTTTTGGATTCTAAACCTTATGTAACTTCACCAACCATTTTTAGTGAGTAAAAATAATTATTATGAACATCCTAATTAAAATTTGAACTTGTTTATGACTTAATACATTAAATACTTAATGCCTCAGGGAATCAAGGCATCCATGAAAACTCCAATCATGTACCCAATGTCTTAAGTCATAAATGACTTTAAGGTGTTATTAACCACTTCCATATGAACCTAATATCATTAAGATATTCCAAAACATGGCTTAATCATGCTTTAGGAGTTCTTATTCCAACTCAAGGTTATGACTCCACCCTTCCGATGTGATGCCAAATAAAAATTATGAAGTTGTGACAGTTCAAATCCTCACTGAATGCAACAAATTCATGTAAACCTTTTCCAAATCATCAAAACCCTTTTTGGTTTGGATTGAGTAGATCATTTGTAATTATGATAAATGTTTACTAAGGTTTAAATAGTTTTCAAACTCTTTTTATAAATTCCAATAGTATTACACCATTAAAATCACAAATTCCCATCACTAACTTCATTGAAATATTGTCATAACTAGAAATCATCACATGAATTTATTTCCTTGACAATTAAACTATATTATTCCTTTATGGATTCATTAGAGACTTTATAGGCTAGTGTACAAATTAACAAAGTCATTATACAACTCATTCAAAGGGTTAAGGTTAAAATTCACCCAAATCCACCGTTTAAAGTGAAATTAACCATCCATTAATTGAATATCAACCCTTTGATGATCTAAATCATGAATCAATCAATAAATATCAATTTTCTAACTAAAATTGGATTCATAGAGACCTATGATTACAACCCCCAAATTTAATCAAAACTCCATTCAAGCATCTATGAGATAAATTATTGTTTAAAGAATGAATCGAATATGAAAGTATAGCTTAGAACTTCATTAGAATCAATAATCTAACTATAAAATCATATTTGGGATGAAATCCTAAACCATAAATCAACATAGAAGAATAAGACATGAAGAAATATGTCTTATAGTGACCAGTGGTGATGATCCTAGCTTGAAATCCTTCAAAATCCACTTCAAGCTTAAGCAATTTATCTCCACTGGTGAAGGATCGATCTAAAGCTCTTACCATCTTTCTCTCAAGTTGTTATTCAATGATTCAAGTGGAGACTAGAAGCGTTTTTATACTTTCAATTATGGTCTAATGTCATCTTAAGTCCTTAACTTTCGATTCTCCCACTCTGACTACTAGATGACACCCATTTTCATCCAACTTCTATTTTTTCTACTTAAACCATTTCAAACACAACATTTATAAACTTGACGGTCCGTCCTTCATTAATTTCCTTAAAATAACATTTATTAACATTTATAATTTAAGAATTCTAACTTAAGCTTATAAATATTAATTTCACGACATTTAAATCTAAATTTCAGTTAACTTTTAGATCATATGAAAGTTTCTCACTTTTGGCAAGTTTAGTCCTTTAGTACACGTCTTATATTTTAAGTCACATTGTACATATTTACTCTAAACCTTTTTATCAACTAATTTAATTATGATTTATTTCTATTTTATATTAATTATTTTCTTTTATTTTGTTTATTTATTTAACTAAACATGGAAAAAAACTTATACATCCAATTTGAGGATGTTACATTTATACGATCCTCATTATAACTTGATATTGATTAACACACTAGTTTATAACCCGTGGAAACCATGGTTAAAAAATTAATTAAACTTTCATAGTAAAAACTCAAAATTATTAATCATTTATCGTAAATAAATTATTTTAAATAAATTATTAATTAAGAGATATTTTTTAGTTATATAAAATTATAATCATTGATTTAAAATAATACATGAAATTATATCACCTTATAATCTGTATTAATTTTATTTTATTATAATGTTATTAATTAATGTAATTATAGTGGGAAATTTAAAATTTAAAATTAGAAATAGAGAATCAATAGGTTGACAAATAACATTACATTAATTAGGAGACCTAATAGGATGATACATGACAAAAAGAGAATAAATCTATTATTTTATTAGAATAGATTAATGGTGAAATTAACTTTATATATTAAGCATGAACCGTAATTCTTATTGATACAATCCGTAAAAATTAGGAATAAAACATAAAAAATAAAAAAAATAAAAATAATCGTGATCATATACAACAAAAGACATAAATATCACAAAAAATATCATGATGCTCTGTCTGATTCAAGAGGAATAAATAAAATTGTGATATTCAATGAGATTTTTTACATCTTGTGATATGTGATGTTCGATTTTTAATTATATAAACGTAATTTTGAGGTTTAACTATATAACAAAAATAAAAAATAGAATTAATTGGGTCAAAATTTAAAATCCTTCAGCCATCTGCAATATTCTCCAAAACAACGGTTGTGGAGAACTTCCAAATCAGCACGAGCCACCCCTATTCCATGGAGTGCTCTCCACGGTGAAGAAGAGAAGAAAGAAGAGAGAAAAAAAGAAGAAGGCTGATGCCTGAATCGTTGTTCTCGTTCGTGGAAGGCACAACAATGGTCCAGGACCACGACCCACAACGAGACATCGGGATGGTGTGTACGATCGTGGTTCGTGGCCACCTAGATCACGAAGATCATCGTGATAGATATTGCAGATGTCCTAATATTGCTCTTGCTTAAGATGGATCACATGATAGGAATTATTTTTAATCGAAAAGTCTTAAGGCTATACGGTATGGGGTGCGGTTCCAAACCGCAGTGCAGCCACGTGGACCGCGAACACCGCCCCCAAGGTGCGGTTTCCTGCGGCCAAAACCGCAGTGCGGCTAGAAACAACCGTGCAATCTGATTGGATGTTCCACCTTTTGACCGTTGACGGTCCTTTGCGTCCGGATTTATTATTATTATTTTTATTATTATTATTTTTTCTTTTTGCCTTTCTTTCCTATATATACATATCCAATTCATTTGTTTTTAACCACAATACAACCTCTTCTCTCTCTCTCTCTCTCTCAAAATTAAAAAAAAAAATCACCACTCTCTCAAAAATGTCATCTTCTTCATTTTCTGAAGAATTTCAGACTATTTTTGATACCGCTGTTGCATGTGCTCAAATGGCGTAACAAACATACGATGCTTTATGCAACAACGCAGCTGCAAGTTCTCAACGGAGAACACGAAGATATATTTGCAGAAATCGTGAAGAAGTCAACCAACGTTTGGTGCAAGACTATTTTGAAGAGAATGCCACTTATCAAGGGTATTATTTTCGTAGGCGCTTCAGAATGTTCAAAGGTTTATACGAACGTATAGTTGAAGATGTAACGAGGGAGTGCAGTTTTTTTCAACAAGGCTACGATGCTAGAGGTGCACCCGGTTTCACTCCCTTACAAAAATGCACGGCCGCACTTCGTCAGTTAGCATATGGCATTCCGCCTGATGCGTTAGACGAAACTTTTAGGATGTCTGCTAGGATCGCACGAGACATTCTCCATTTTTTTCTGCAAAACTGTAATTCAGTTTTATGGTCCAAAATATTTACGTAAGCCTACACGTAATGACATCCTGCAATTGCAAGATCATCATGCTACTGTGCATGGGTTTCCTGGAATGCTAGGAAGCTTAGATTGTCTCCATTGGGCATGGGAAAATTGCCCTACATCATATCATGGGCAATTTACCCGAGGTGATCATGGTCACCCAACGGTCATACTTGAAACAGTTGCATCACAAGATATGTGGATTTGACATGCTTTTTTTGGTTCTCCTGGTTCGATTAACGACATCAACGTTCTTAATCGTTCACTAATATTTAACAACATATACGATGGATCCGCACCAGATTCTTCTTTTGAAGTGCGTGGAGCGCCATATAAGTATGGTTATTATCTGGTCGATGGAATCTATCCTGAGTATGCTGTGTTTGTTAAATCGTTTACGTGTCCACATGGTTCTAGACGAAAGAAATTCAAGAGAGCTCAAGAAAGAGCTAGGAAGGATGTTGAGCGTGCTTTTGGAGCTCTGAAGAAACGGTGGTTCATATTGAAAAAACCAGCAGCTTATTTAGGCGAGGAAAAACTTCAAGAAATCATGTATACATGTCTCATATTGCATAACATGATTATTGAAGACGAAGGAAGAGCGATATGTGCGTTTGACGAGGAAGAAACCATACCAGAGACACAACGAATAGAAATTGGTGGCGAAGAGTATATGAACAGGAGAGCAGAGATACATTGCACTAAAACATTTCACAATCTTCGCAATGACTTGGTGGAACACATTTACGGGGTTCAAAACATTAACCTTAATTTGGATCCACTGGATGACTCCAAAGACGAGTTCTCGGAGAACGACTTTATGTAGTTTGCTTTAGTTATTTTATTTGTGTTTTTTAAGTTTCTAGGATTATTTAAATGTCATGTGTGTGGTTTTCGTTTTTTTTTTTTTTTTTTTTTTTTTTTTTGTAATGCAATGTAATGTTTTTTTAATTTTCAAGTAATGAAAAATTATGTTTTTTATTAAAAAAGAAGTTTTATTAAATTAAAATAGTTAAAAAAAACAAGCAAAAAAAAAAGTTTTATTAAATTAAAATAGTTAAAAAAAACAGAAAATTAAAAAAAATAAAATAAAAGTGTGACACCACTTTCTTGGTGTGGCAAGAAACCACACTTATATGGTAAAAAATAACATGACGCTTATGTGACGGGGGAGAGAGTGCGGTTTGAAACCGCTCCCTCCAGACTGACAACCGATTTCAACCCACCAAAGAACCCGACCATTATTTGTTACAAATAAAAATAAAATCTAAATAATTTTTTTTCCTTGCCGATGAAAAACGGGTAAACCCTCGTTCTACGCAGCCTTAAACCCTTTAAACGCCCCCAACGGAATCTAGGGCACCTTTAATCCCCCAAGGCAGATTTCATCTCTCTTCCCACTAAATTCAAATTGTGTTTGTCTGTTGATGATAACTGCTTGAAGATTGTATTGATTTTGGAACGAAGATGAAGAATCTGAAGCTGTCATGGGAACTGTCATCTAACCTCCAGTTACAATCAGAAAATGAAGTGATTCGTTGCACCGCTTTCGATATCGAACAAAATCGGTTCTTCTTTGCGTCTTCTGCTAACTTCATTTATACCACTCATCTTCCATCTTCTCCGGTAAGTGAGAAATTTCTACTCTTTAGGACAAGTCTTTCCAGTTGTTCGTTATGTGTGAATACAATTAAAATGTATAGACTCTAAAAACTGTTGAGAAGATAGTTATCTACGGAAATGAATTCAATCCAGGGGTTCTGAAACATTATTTGTTCTGTTTCCAGACGTTGTAGATGGAATGCTTCGATGAACACTCGGTTAAATCTCGATTCTAATAAAATGAAAACATTGAAGTTAGGAGTTACATAGTAATGCCAGTAGGTTTGACACTAACTGTCAGTTTATGTGGGGAACCTCGTGTTCTCAGATCTTTTTTCGGGTTACTATAGACATTGAATATCAAATGCTACATAGAACACATGTATTATGTACAAACCTATGTTCTCTTTTCCATCAATGCAAAATAGAACAATCAATCTTCTTTACCAACTCTAAAATGTTATGAAATATTGCAGATCGAAGAATCATGGGGCAAACCATCATCAAATCCACTGGTTGAGGCCATTGATCTAGATTCTGACGACTCTATTACTTCCTTGGAGTATCTCATGGAGAAAGAAGCACTCATTATTGGAACTTCAAGTGGGGTGTTATTACTATATAATGTGGATGATAATGTAACAGAAGTTGTTGGCAAAGTGGAAGGTGGAGTTAAGTCCCTCTCACCAAGTCCAGCTGGAGATTTGCTTTGTATAATCACTGGTTTAGGCCAAATGTTGGTTATGACTCATGACTGGGACTTGTTATATGAGATAACACTCGAGGATCCTATTGAAGATGCTGACACACGTAAGGATTCCTTACCATATTTTCTTGAATTAATCCTTTTTGCAACATATGACTTGATAGATTATTAAAACATCTAAAGTCAGTCTCAGGTGATCGGATCCTTGATTCAGAATGTTCCGCCACCTGGCGAGGTGATGGGAAATTCTTTGCTACATTAACCTCAATCAACAATTCTTCACATAAGAAGCTTAAAATCTGGGAAAGAGATACGGGTAGCTTGCATTCTGTTTCAGAACCCAAGTCTTTTATGGGAGAAATTGTGGAATGGATGCCATCTGGCGCCAAAATTGCTACTGTTTGTGATCATAAAGAAGAAAACAAGTGCCCATCTATAGTTTTCTTTGAAAGAAATGGGTTAAAAAGAAGTTCATTCAGTGTAAACAGCGGAATAGACTTCATGACAACTGTCAAGAATCTAAAATGGAACTGTAATTCTGATCTTATTGCAGCCATTGTTAGAAACGAATCCCACGACGCCATCAAGATATGGTCTTTTAGCAACAATCATTGGTACTTAAAACAAGAAATTAGTCATTCAAGGCATGATGGGGTTAAATTTATGTGGGACCCCGTAAACCCTCTTCGGCTAATATCTTGGAATCTGAAAGGCATGATTATGGTTTACAATTTCATCTGGATTACAGCAGTTACTGATAATTCAGTAGCATTAGTTATTGATGGATCAAAGATTCTAGTAACACCACTTTCCATATCCCTATTTCCTCCCCCTATGTGTCTCTTTGAGCTTGAATTCCCTTCTTCTGTTAGAGAAATGGCATTTTGGTCTTTTAAGAATAGTTTGGCAGCATCTTTATCAGATGGGAGTTTGTCTGTAGTGGAGCTTCCTGACATTGACACGTGGCAAGATCTAGAAGGGAAAGTCTTTCGTGTTGAGTTGACTATTCTTGAAAATCCTACACCCTTTCTTCATCTAACATGGTTGGATTCACATGTGCTTCTTGGTGTAGCTCCTAATGGCCACCTTTTGGAACTTGAAATTATGTGCTCTGAGGATCATATTCATGGTTCAGTGGCATCCTCAGGATGGGATGCTAAAAATAGCAACACATTTTCTCTTGAGAGAAATGTGATTGCCATTGCTTCTAACCCGGTTAAAAAACGTTCAGCATTTATTCAGTTAAATGGTGGGAGTATTTGTGAGTACACATTGGATTCTTCTCTTCAGGAGCATAACAATTTGCGGTTTTCCCAATCTTGCCCCTGGATGAGTGTGGCCTCAATTGGAGATTTTGGGGTATTGGAGTCTTTTTTGTTATTCGGGCTTGATAATAACAGTAAGCTGCATGTGAATCAAAATGTTTTATGTAACAACTGTCACAGCTTCTCATTGTACTCAAATTCCCAAAATCAAGAGATGACACATTTGATCCTTTTGACTAAACAAGACTTTTTATTCGTTGTTGACATTCGTGATATTGTTCTTGGTCAAATGGAAGTCAAATATGGGAACTTTGTACCTGTTATTACCAGAAGAAAGGATGAAGAAGGAAAGAAGTTTATACAGATTTGGGAAAAGGGTTCCAAGATCTTAGGAGTTGTTCATGGAGACGAATCTTCTGTTATAATACAAACAACCCGTGGAAACTTAGAAAGCATTTATCCAAGAAAATTGGTGTTGGAATCGATTGTGAATGCTTTGGTCCAAGGGCGTTTTAGGGATTCCCTACACATGGTAAGGCGACACAGGATTGACTTTAATGTTATTGTTGACCATGGAGGGTGGGAGAATTTTTTAAAATTGGCAACCGAGTTTGTCATCCAGGCAGACAATTTAAACTACATTACCGAATTTGTATGTTCATTAAAGAATGAAAATGTGATGGAGACTTTATACAAAAACTACATAACAAATGAGGCAAATGTTAAGGAATCAAGAGATGTCGATAACAATAACAAGGTCAATTCCGTCCTTTTGGCTATCAGAAAAGCTCTAGAGTCCCAAGTTCCAGAAACCCCAGAAAGAGAGCTTTGCATTCTAACAACTTTGGCAAAAAGTGAACCCCCATTTCTTGAAGAAGCTTTGGAGCGGGTCAAAAAGATCCGTGAGATGGAACTATCAGATTCCAGCGACCCAAAAAGACAAAACTACCCCTCTTCTGAAGAGTCTTTAAAACATCTGTTATGGCTATCAGAAAGTGAGTCCCTTTTTGAAGCTGCTTTAGGTCTTTACGACTTAAACCTTGCAGCCATTGTTGCATTAAACTCACAACAAGACCCAAAAGAGTTCCTACCCTTTCTTCAAGAACTAGAACTCTTGCCAGGTGGCATAATGAGATACAAAATCGACCTCAGACTTCAAAGACACGAAAAGGCACTCCAACACATTTTTCACGCAGGCGATTCTTACTTTCAAGATTTTATTAATCTCATAATAAACAACCCTCAACTTTTTTCTCATGCACTTCAATTAGTAACAGACCCCATTAAAAGAAATCAAGTTCTTGAAGCATGGGGAGATTATTTAACAAATATAAAATCATTCGAAGATGCTGCAACAACATATCTATGTTGCTACAATCTACAAAAAGCTTTGAAAGCCTACCGGGCTTCTTACAACTGGACTGGGGTACTTACTGTTGCGGGTCTTTTAAAACTAAAAAAAGACGAAATTACCCTTTTGGCAAACGAACTGTGTGAAGAGCTTCAAACGATTGGGAAACCGAGTGAGGCTGCGAAAATCGCGTTGGATTATATTGGAGATTTTAAAAGTGGGATAAATTTGTTGATTAGTGCAAGGGAATGGGAGGAGGCTTTGAGAGTTGCTTTGATGGATAGGAGGGAGGAGTTGGTTGCTGACGTGGCGACCGGAGCGGTTGACTGTGCCGCCACGTTGGTGGCTGAGTATGAAGAAGGGGCGGAGAAAGTGGGGAAGTATTTGGCACGATACTTGGCGGTCCGGCAGCGGCGGTTGTTGCTTGCCGCCAAGATTCAGGCGGAGGAGCGGTCGGTGAATGAATTGGATGATGATGCTGTTTCGGAAGCTAGTAGCAGTTTTAGTGGAATGAGTGCTTACACCACCGGGTATGAACTATCTGTTTGCTTTTTTACTGATTTGCCCTTCTTTTTTTCCTTCCAATTCATCCCATGTTAAAATTGATGAATGTTGTGAAATTAGTTTTTTGGAACGCAGGGGTAAAATGGTCATTTAGTTTCATTCAGACGGATTGTTCGGTCTAGAAAACACTTTATCCAGCCACTTTTTCATACAAAATTTATGGAGGAATAAAAGGAAAAGAAACAACCCCTTGATCATATAATACTATAATAGAGTAAATTACATTTTTGGTCCCTGTGGTATACTGCTTGTTTTGGATCTGGTCTTGAAAGGAATTTTTGTTGCTTTTTTATCCATCTGGTACCATTTTGTCAAAGTTTTGGTCTAAGTTAACACACTTGGTGACAAATGTGTAAAAATGACCAATTTGTCCTCACTTTTTGCATCCTAAACATTCTGATCCATGTCCAGGTCAAGAAAAGATTCTGCTGCTTCCATGATTTCGAGTAGCACTAGCAAAAGAGGGCAAAGACGCCAAAAGAAAAAAGGAAAAATCCGTGCTGGCAGGTACTTTGTATTCAACTTTTTTTTTTTGAGTAAATTACATTTTTGGTCCCTGATTATAGCTGATTTTTGCAATTTCGGTCCCTGAGTCTTGACTGATTTTTGCAAATTTGGTCCCAAAAGTATAGAGCATATATTTCGAACAAGGACCAAAAAGTGTTATAAAAGCCTCAAATAAGGACCAAAGTTGCAAGAGAAAAAACTCTTTTCTCTTTTTAATAATTTATATATTCTTTTTGTGTCCCAATTTCTTTTAAAAATAAAATAAAATTGTGTTACATGGTATGCAGTCCTGATGAGGAAATGGCATTAGTGGAACATCTAAAAGGCATGTCCCTGACAGCTGGAGCAGCACGTGAGCTTAAATCTTTGTTGGGTTGTCTTGTAATGATTGGAAAAGAAGATGTTGCAAGAAAATTACAACGTGTTGCTGAAAACTTTCAGTTGTCTCAAACAGCAGCTGTAAAAATAGCTTCAGATGCAATGACGTGTGAGAGTGTGGATGAACATACATTTGTTTTGGAGGTTTATTTGAAGAAATTAAGGAAGGAATTGTTGCAGTCCGAGGAGTTCTCTTGGCAGTCCAAGGTTTTTGTTGCTCCTTAGGAAGTAACGGTTGTTAGTTTTTGGATCTCATTTTCTTCTTTTGAATAATTGAATTTTGGTCGAACTTATATGGCTAGATGCGGATATTTTTATGTATTATTTTTTATTGGCGAATTTTGTTAAACATTTGTGATTGTTGTTGATGTATAAGATTTAATTAAATGGTTGTTTTGCTACGCAAATGATATGTTTTTATGTTTATAACTACGTTGCACCCGTAAACATTGCAAATGATATGAAATAAAATAGCTATACACTTTTGAATCGATATTATGGAATTATTAACATATTGATTGGAAGCAAAATTATGGGTGTGAAATTATTTTATTGGTTTATGTAAGGTTTAATATTTTATATGGATAATCACGAAATCAGTTGAATTCCGTATTTTAGGTTATGATTTATAATAAGATAAATGTTGAAGTTGGTGATTTATGATGATTATATCAATATAAATAGTAAATCATATAATATATAAGGTATCATGCTTTGCCGTTAGTTTTTACGTGTTTTTGTTGCGTATTAAATGTGAGAATTGATTAAACCAGTGACATTTTATAAAGTTTTAAGTTGAGGGGTGAAAGTAATATATATATATATATATATATATATATATATATATATATATAAACACGAAAAATTTGCAGATTCAAACTTTTGTAGAAATTTATAGTTCAAACAATATGATCTACGAAAAAATATAATTTATAACAATATAAATTTTTTATTTTATTTTATAACAATATAAAGAAAAACGAATATAAAGAAAAACGAATTTTGAAAGTGAAAATATATCATGTTTGATGTACTTTGAATTGATACAAATTTAAATCATTATTGAAGATAAAAACGAGACGGTCTCAATGGTATATTTCGGATTTATAACCAGCAGTACATGATAAAGCTATTATTGAAAGTCAGATTTAGTAGTTTGACTAGTTTCAAAGTAATATATATATTTGTTTTTTGATACAATATAGTGGGTTTATTAAATTTCTATAAATTCTTACCATATGAAATACAACGTTTTATTATAAATTCGTTGGTTTATATATAATAGTTTCTATCTCTAAATAAATATTATTAAAAGAGAAACCTTATGACACCATCTTAAATAATCTGGACCCTTGATTGTATTTCAATCTTATTTTTTCCACCATTACATCAAATTGTTGACATTATTTTACCAAAATGGAATGTATTTAATTCCAATAAATACTTTACAATCGTCAAACAATAACTTACATTCGTTGAAATGGAATGTATTTAATGACAATAAAAGTTTTCCATATTCTAAATCTTGAATTTCCGGTTATGAAGGTTTTAATATGGTCAATTTTAAAAACACATTACTAACAAACAATTTCAATCAAGACATTAATATCAACCATTAATATAAATTCGTTTATATAATTAACCATTAATATAAAATCTATTTTTATTAGGAAATCATTAATACCAAAAAATCATATTCAAATTATCACATACATATACGATTCATCATTGAATCCGCGGCTCACACTTATTTTCAATCATTTATTTTCTTCAAACTTTTTCCTTCAACATCATTCTTATTGCTTATAACTTCCATCATCATTCTCTGCTTCAAACCTTCGTTGTTGTACACTAGAAGGTCAATACCTTCTATCGCTTTTTATATTTTTATCGATTATTTTTTTGTTCCTATATTAAATATACGTATTAATATATTTCGATTTTCTTTGTCACAAATTACATGAAATCGGTTAACTACTTTTCTGACTTTTCAAATAAATAGGAAAATATATTACGTACTTTTAACAAAACAGAAATTAACTATCTTGGGAACTGACATTAATTACGAAAATGATACTTTTATATATTAGAGATGATTATGATTGTTTTATGTCATAAGAATCCGGTTAATTTTGGTATGATTTGAAAATATCATTGAAATCATTATGTTTTTATATATCATACCAACCTACTTTTTTTATCTTTATATAGTAACAATAAAATTTATAAATTTACACAACAAATATACATATTTCGAATTTTGTAATATTATTATACCTTACAAAATAGAATTCCCTCCAAAATAATTTTCGCCAGTAATTTCATCCATAATTTCACCTAATTTAAATTTGTATTTTCTTTATATAAATTTTTTTGATGATCCTGATTTTTTTCCTCCAAACGTATATCAAGCATTTACGTGTTAGATAATGTTGCCCCATTATAATTATTACCTTCCGAAAATATATCCGTTTAATGAAGAATTTGATTTAATGAAGGAAGTAAATATTAATTAAAACGAGATATATATTCCATAACTAATACACGAATTTATTAAAAGAAACTAATATCAAGGTGTAAACATTAAGCATTTTTAAAGTGAAATTTCAGAATATATACAAACGATGATGTTGTATAATGAAATATAAAATTGAATAGACTGGAAAAAAAACTATTATGACAGTCAATCTTGAAAATAGCATAGTAATGAAAAATTATAAAATAAGATAAAAATTATAAGATATTAGGAGATTTGTAAAAAGTACAATTAGTAAAAACATTACCCTTGTTAGAAAAAAATAAGACCGTTAAGATTAGTGAAAATACAATATATAAACTAAATTATCACAATAGTAATGAAATGTCATTATTTGATATTTCATATAATTGAAAGATATACCAAATTACATTGATGATATACTAAAATTAATCAAAGTTGCGTCAAAACTAATGCAAAGTTCTTGCGAACACCAAATAAAGAAGAACAAACATAAAAGCTAGCACTTATATTCATAATCAATTTAAAGTAAACCAATCATGATTTAGAAAATAATTTCCATTGATGATATACTAAAATTAAATCCATATAACATTTAACATTGTATAAATTATACTATATGACTTTATTTGAATAAATGAAATAGTTGTCAATATTTAATGCAGTGGAAAAAACGGTATAATGGTTGTCAATATATATTTAAATTAGGTAACCTTATTATGGAATGAACGTCTAATTAGAATGCCTATAATTATATAACAATATCATAACTATATGTGACGAGGAAGGTCGTTCAACTAATAAAACAAAAAAATATTGTCAACAAAGAGGTCCTTCAATGAATATAGATATTTATCGTTTTTAATGTATTTTGTATACATTTCAATAATACCAATAACCATAAATTTTTTTTTTTATAATTATTATGCAATATCTTTAGACAATTATATGTTTTTTTATGTGTTTTGCGTTTTCCGCGGGTTATAATCTAGTTTAATATGAAACTATCAAATATTCAAAAAGATTTTGTTGCATGCAATTACAAATGGAGTTGTGGTTACAAGCAAATGCAAATACTTAGATTTTGTTAGATGAAAGTTTCTTTAGATTTTGTAAACCCCAAAGATATTTAGTAGACGTTAAAGCCAAAATTATTTATTTGCACATCACCATCCCTTATTATTGAAAATCTTGATTATGCTTCACGCAATTTACTTATTTTTCGAACATTTGCTTGACATATATAAATTTCTTTTTAGATTATACATTATGATTTCTACAAGATAAAATCAATATTCAGATATTTCTTTTGGTTGCTAATCGGAAATGTTTGAGTTTTAATAATAATAAAAAAAATCAATATAAGAAGACATTCTTGATAATTTTTAAAATTGAATAAAAAAAGTAATAATCTGAATATTTGTTATTAAAAAGACAACATGTTGTAAAAAAGGGCCCAACCGGGTTCGAACCGGTGACCTCTTGATCTGCAGTCAAATGCTCTACCACTGAGCTATGGACCCATTTGTTTTATTCTCTAGAATTTTTGTTAATATATTTGGTTTTTAAAGGCTACATATTTTTATCAATTTATTTTTTACAAAACGTTATAATTATACAATAACTAAAAATGACAATTGTACTTTTGGGAAGATAGAATGTATAAAAAGTATGTATTTGACATTTGACTTTCAAAATAACAATTGTACTTTTAGACGTCTATAGGTATAGTACAACAAAAATAAAATAAAGATGTCGATACGTCTTTTCCAGAAATAAAAACTGTCAAACGGAACCAGAAAAAGTTAATAATTTCATTACAAATTTCAATTTGTATGATTCTTTTTGGAAATTATGGGCAAGGAAAATATGATACGCTATACTTTAATTAAAAAAAAAAATATTGGATAGTGTTCTTTAAAATTAGTGTTTGTTAAAATATGATAAGATGCTTAAAATAATAATTTCATTTTTTAAATATATATTTTTTTGTGTTTATTATCATTTGGTTGTACGATTGCCTACAGTAGTTGTACATTCCCATCACAGATTTGCTCCAATCTCGTGGCGATAAATCAAACGAGATAGAAGACACGTGGCATACAAGGATTGGTTTTGATGTGCTTTTTAATACGTTGCGGACATATAACGCAGAATGTGAATAGTAGAGGCAAAGAGAGAGAGAGAAACTAAAAGGGAAAGCTTTGAAACAAGCCCTTCACTTTTCAAGAGTTTTCAATAATTTCCTTCAACAAAAAAACATTACTCAAACTTGAACCTTAATCTTTTTAAATTATCAAAACAGCCCTTTTGTGTTTGCATTTGTTTACCTTGGTAAGGGGCAAGTGTCTTTTTTCTTTTTTATTATAGTTTAAATCTAGCATGTTTATGAGAACTCAACGTTTACTTAATGCTTTTTTTTAATAAAAGTTTTAATTTTTTAATTTTTTTTAATGCTTGATAATTCATTAGTTTAAAAAACATATTTATATATCCTTAGTTCATATATTTTGTATATGTTAGTTACAGACAATTGTTCATTTGAGTTAAATATGATCGAAATTAGCAACGACAATGACAACAATAAGTCTATAATGTGATTCAAGTTAACACATAATGACAAATATTGTAGCATATTTTTTTTCTTATGTTTCTTTATTTCAAATGACGAATATTGATTTGATAATATTGAAAAAGTTAGTTGATTCATTGATTGCAAAAGGGGACCTCACAGTAAAGACATTGTAAATGCTACACCAACAAATAGTTTTTAAATAATTAGTTTATAAGGATTTATTTTAACTTATATGTCTTTTTTTTATATTAACATTCAAACGAACACATAAAATATAGAAATAGAAATGAGCAAGTAATTGAACACCATCATTGTTCTTTTAGGGTTTGAAGTGCAAATTGGTAAAACGTCAGGGGGGTCTCTAAAATTCGAACTTGTTAAAAAGAGAGAGGACTCCGAAAAATCCCCAAATTGAAGGCAAGCAGACACGTCTTTCTCGGTCGTTGCAAAACACCCTAAAATTTCTGAATCGGAGCCCTAAATTTTCTCGATCGTTTTTGTTCATCACTCTCCTTCGCCTGAAATCATGGTTACGTCTCTTTCTCACTTTATGATACGCACACAGAAACAGACTTTGTTGACTATTTTGTTCGCATGCTGCGATTGTTTGTGGCTTTGTTTGATTTGAGATATTTACTGCGATCTGTATGCGATTTAGCTGATTTTGTTAATTCGTTTGATGTTGATAGTGTTGATCTTTGTTCCCGGTGATTGATTTTCGATTATTTGTGATTTAATGTTCATTATCATGCTTAAACTCATAAGTTGACTTTAAGCTAGATCGAAGCTCCAAATTGTCAGATGCGTACACGGATCACTCAGAAGTTGCTCAATGAGTCGGTCGCGATCTTCCTTTTGTCTGTACGGGGCTTTAGAAATTTATCGCAATTATGATTAGGTCGAGTTCCATGAGGTATCTGATTCGAGATTTTGAATATAAACAATGAAATTATAGGCTGCTTTTAAGTGATTTGTTACCAAACTTTAGTTAGTTTATTGTTTGATACGAACTACGAAGTGCTGGTGAAGTAATGTGGATCGCAGAGGCGCTAATTGTTATTTTGTGGTGGGTGGAATTAGTTTATCTTTTGACAAATTGTGTATCACTTAGATGATTAGATCTTTATGGGTTGGTGAACTGGCAGGGCCCTTTTGTCAACTTTAAGATATGGTTGGTTGAAACTATGGTCCGGAGAGAGACTCTGTGGGGCAGCTTTAAGAAATCTAATAGCTATACATTATCTGATATAACTAGAACAAGAATCCTTTGTGATGCAATTTTTATATATCAAATAAGCACTACTTTCAATTTCTCTTTTAGAACTTTATAATAATGCCATGCTAATATTGTTATGGTGGTGGATTGATAGGCCAATGCAGCATCAGGGATGGCTGTGCATGATGACTGCAAGCTAAAGTTTATGGACTTGAAGGCAAAAAGGACCTTCCGTTTCATCATTTATAAGATCGAGGAGAAACAAAAGCAGGTGATGGTTGAAAAGCTTGGAGAACCAGCAGAAACTTATGATGATTTTGCAGCATGTCTCCCTGCTGATGAATGCCGATATGCTGTCTTTGATTTTGATTTCATGACTGCAGAAAATGTCCCAAAAAGCAGGATCTTCTTCATCGCATGGTACCAATTACGCCCTTCAATTGTTTCTTTATCATTGTTTGAATCTTAACGTAGGGTCAATTGCAGAAAAACCATTATATTTGCATAATTTTTGTGAGTTAACCACTTATACTTTTTCTTTTTTGGAATCAAACCATAAAAATTTCAGACATTTTTCCAGTTAAACTATTTTGACCAAATCAGTGTGGATTATTTGGAAAACATCAATGAAACCTATTATAAAAATGTTTATATTTTTGAAAATGTCCAAAACTTTTATTGTTTGCTTGGAAAATATATATATTATTAGTAGCTAAAAAGCAAAACTGCACAAAATAGTGTTTTTTTTTTTTTTTTTTTTTTTTTTTTTTGTAATTTTCTATTTAATAAATTATAATGGTACCAATAACGTTTTAGTGGTGTCTTTATTTTTGTTTGAAATTAAACATAGGGTAAGTTACAGAAAAGAACATTATTATATTTCTGTGGTTTACTTTGACCACATATGCTTAATTTTTTCCAGTTAAACCATAAAATTGTTGGATATTTTTACAATATAACCATTTTGACTTGATGTAACTGGTCACTATGGTTGATTAGGAAAAATACGGTGAAATCTATTATACTAGGTCAAAATGGTTAAATTGGAAAATGTTGGAAACTTCCATGGTTTGATTTGAAAAAATAAAATATGGTTGATTTGTGAAAAAAAAAAAACGCCAGTCAAACCTAATATAATAGGTTAAAATGGTTAAATTGGAAAATGTTAGAAACTTTTATGGTTTGATTGGAAAAAATAAAATAATAGTTGTTATTGCCCCATCAAATCTTATTTTTTTTCCCATTAATAAATTATAATGGTAACAATAACTCTCCAATCAGTTATTTATTATTTTCTGAAGTTTAATATAAGGGCAAGTTACAGAATAATCTATTATATTTTGGGGCAATTTTGCAGTTTACAGATTAATAGATTATCTTTTTCCAATCAAACCTTAAAAGTTTCATTCAAGACATTTTCCAATTTAACCATATTGACTTGATATGACGGTTGAAAATGTTTAGTTTGGAAAATTAGCTGTGAACCTGATATAACAGGTCAAAATGGTTAATTCGGAACAGATATTTGAAAGTTTATGGTTTGGTTGGAAAAAATAAATTTATAGGGGTTAAACCGCAAAACTGCATAAAATAAGTGTTTTTTTGGTAATATTGGGTTTGTCACATAATTTAATACTTGTGTAAAATGTGGCATGAAATTGAAAGGTCACCGGATACTGCAAGAGTGAGGAGCAAGATGATTTATGCAAGCTCAAAGGACAGGTTCAAGAGAGAGCTTGATGGCATTCAGATTGAATTGCAAGCAACCGATCCTACCGAGGTTGGGCTTGATGTTATTAGAAGCCGAGCAAATTAAAAAAAGAAAAAACGAGCTCTGTTATAAATTTCAAATGGAGATGACGATTCTTCATAGAATATTGTGATTTTATGTTAAATGTTTATAGTTGTTCTGGTATGGTATGTAGTATCAGTATCAGTACGAACGAGTACCAGTTGTTACTTTCCTCAAAAGTCTTGCTTTCCGTCAAGAACCAGTGTGATTTCAGGTAAAAAAATTTGTGTGATGTTTTGTGTGATTCAAGTATTCAACACGAGTAATATGGGATTTGTATTGTATTTCAATTTCAATTTCATTTCATTTCATTTCTTACAATCATATTAATGCTATTATGCTGGAATCACCATTTCATAAAAATGATTGTTGACAAAGAATATTTTTTTTTAATTATTCAATTATTTAGTTTGACTTTGTCTCCCTGGTTTTGGAAGTGGTTGTTAACTTCCGTTGGTTGGAACATATATTTTTTCAAATTTATTCATGACTTTACAAGGAAAACATGGATCTATATGTTGAGAAACAACTCTCAGGTTTTTAAGTTCTCTAAGAAAATCTAAAGCGTTTATTGAAGATTTGAGAAGCATATAATACGTTTGTTTATTTGCTGAAATGAGCACCTACCAAGCATGTGTACAAAATGGAACTCGTTTATTAAAAGCATGGAACGGATTCAATACGAATATCGATCATTTTTTAGGTGTGCATATAGTGGATACAAATGAGAACAAAGCTATATTATACCGGATACAAATGAGAACAAAGCTTGATTATAGATTCGGGAAGTGTGCATATGTTTCGTAGATTGTATTATAGGTCCGGTCTATCTGGTTGTATTTGGCCTTATTCTTGTATTTGGTTGTATTTGGCCTTATTCTTGTATTTGGTTGTATTTGGCCTTATTCTTGTATTTGTACTATATAATCTGAGATTTAATATTGGTTCTATTTGGCCTTATTCTTGTATTTGTACTATATAATCTGAGATTTACTAAGGAATCGATAACGAACTATACCAAATAACTTGGTATCAGAGTTATTCTATTTTTTTCTCACCCACAATCTGTTGATTACCTTCTTCTCTGTTTGCCGCTTCCTGCATCTTCCACATCCCTTATTCTTTTCTTGATTAAATCGCACTCATGGTCGGCTCCCCACCTTCTAGAACATCTTCAGAGAAACCCTATGACACAACAAATATCAAAGCTTCCATCCCCATCGTTCTTGACCTGGAAAAACTCATTTAGTATAATGCATGACATCAAATTTTTGATACCCACTGCAAAGGTTTCGGTGTTGTTCATCATCTTGAGCCACTAGATGACAAAAAACAGTGTAATCGCATAGACTCAATCGTCTAGATGTGGATGTATGGAACAATATCTGAGTCTTTTCTTCATATGTTTTTTTTTTAAAAAAAAAAAATCGTGTTCTACTGCGGAGATGTGACAAGATATTGAAACTCTTTTTCGCTCCAATGAAGAAGCAAGTGCAATGCAATTGGATCTAGAACTCCGCAACATCACTCTTGGTCACTTAATAATCCTTCTAAAGACGGTTGGGTAATGGATACAAGTGCAACCTCGCATCTTCACTCTAATGCATGTATACTCCATTTCATTAACGATAAAAGCTATAATTTGCCTCAAGTTTTGGTTGGTAATGGCTCTAAATTTTCTGTAAGTAATTTCGGACACACGTTCCTTTCCATTAATAATTCATATCGTCCTCTTGTTCTAAAAACTATCATCACACCTCAAATCATCAAAAAAATTTATTTTCATTTGTAATTTTACTCGTGATAATCTTTGTTCTGTTGAACTTGACGCTTATGGTTTTTCTATGAAGGATTTTCAAACCAAGCAAATTCTCCTCGGATGTGATATTAATGACAACTTGTACTCTATCATGTTTCCTACACCTCAAGCCTTTTCTTGGCCAACTCCACCACTTGGCATCATTGTCTTGGTCATCCCGATCAAGACACCTTTAATCATTTAGTTTCACAAAATTTAATTCCATGTAAAGACAATAAATGTAACACTCCAGATTTCAAAAGAGATTTTCATTTAAATTAGGTTGAACAACTAAAAACCTTTAACTTCAAAACATGATGTAACATCTAATTGTTTGAAAACCATATGATTAACATAGCTGAATTACAAAACAACGGAAACCAATATCTTCGATGCGTGTATATAGTCTCGCCGAGCTCTTTCCACGAACAACCTGCAAGACATTTAATCCACAATTGTAAGCATAAAACTTAGTGAGTTCCCCAGTATACCACATATTCCATCACACATACAATGCATACAAACAAGTCCTCGACTCTAGCGCTGATCTGCCAACTCTACTATCAACATGCATACATCATATATAATAACCATACATATCATTCATTAGCACTTTGCCACTACACTGTTACTGGCTCTCAGCTACCACTACTACCGGCTCTCAGCCGTAACCTACTACTGGCTCTCAGCCACCTTGAAATCATCGACCTATAGCCGGAACAACAACCATATCGGAGCCAATGCTAATACTGAAGACCGTCTTACGAACACATAGTCATAAGTAGTCGGGGAAGGTAGACAATCGAACATAGGGATATCTCCAGAAAAGTCTCAATATTTTGGGCAAATTTTTAATAAAGTCCTAAATTTTATTTTTTGAATAAAAAAGTCATGACTTTTTCACATTTTGAATAAAAAAGTCTAAGAAACCGGCTAATTTATTCACTTTAGCCATTTTTGACCTGTTCAGCAGGTCATAGGACCAAATTGTTAATTTTTGGAAAATAATGAGACGTTTTTGCAGATTTCGTCAAAATTTTTATATAATGTATAAACATATTTTTTACATATCTATATCTATTTTTACATATTTTTGTATTTTTTATGTTTTTATATGTATATATTTACGTATTTATATGTATTTTAAACCATTTTACATATTTTTTAATGTATTTTTATGTGTTATTTTTTATGTATTATGTATTTATATGTATTTCTGTGTATTTTTAAAAACTTTTTATATAGCTGTTTATGTATTTTAAATGTACAAACGTATTTTTTACGTATTTATATCTATTTTTAAGTATTTTACATATTTTTTATGTATTACGTATTTATGTATTTTTTAAGTGTTTTATATAGATGTTTTTGTATATTTATGTATTTTAAATGTATAGACGTATTGTTTTACGTATTTATATGTATTTTTTTAAGTATTTTACATATTTTTTGTGTGTTTTTATGTGTTTTTATGTATTATGTATTTATAAGTATTTTGGCGTATTTATGTATTTTTTTAGTTTTCTTATATAGATGTTTTTGTATTTTTATGTATAATAAATGTTTAATCAATACAATTAAACATTTAATATACATAAAAATACATAAACATCTATATAAGAAAACTAAAAAATTACATAAATACGCAAAAATATATATAAATACATAATACATAAAAAACACATAAAAACACACAAAAAATATGTAAAATACTTAAAAATACATATAAATACGTAAAATAATACGTTTATACATTTAAAATACATAAATATACAAAAACATCTATATAAAAAACTTTAAATAAATACATAAATACGTAATACATAAAAAATATGTAAAATACTTAAAAATAGATATAAATTCGTAAAAAATACGTTTATACACTTAAAATACATAAACATCTATATAAAAAGCTTAAAAAAATACATAAATACGTAAAAATATATAAAAATGCATATAAATACATAATACATAAAAAATAACACAAAAAAATACATAAAAAATATGTAAAATGGTTAAAAATACATATAAATAAGTAAAAAAAAGTCAGTTTCTTGGGCTTTATTATTCAAAAGTTTCATTATTTTCAAAAAATTAACAATTTGGTCCCATGACCTGCTGAACAGGTCAAAAAGGGCTAAAGTGAATAAATTAGCCGGTTTCTTGGGCTTTATTATTCAAAAGGTGAAAAAGTCAGTATTTTTTTATTCAAAAAATAAAATTTAGGACTTTATTAAAAATTTGCCCAAAAGGATTTAGACCAATAAATCAAACAAGAACCATGCAATAAGGATTTAGACCAAGAGTTATCAGGCTATCTAATTTAAACTACATACGACCCCTAAGGTATCCACTCAACGATCAAACAATACTATCATCACCCTAACCAATCATGATACCTAACAATATGATAAAATCCACAGGCAAGACTCTACCGGTCTAGCATACCATGACACCAAGTGCTCCATATTGCACATACATGAAAAGGAGTTATCCTAGTCAACTAGCATACTTGTACTCTAACAATACCTATATCCTATCATACAAAGGATATACAATGTCACACGTGGTATAGGAAGAAGACTCAACTGAATCGCAGAACTGGAGAAGACCAGCTACACCCTCAACTCCTTGCGCTAATCAGACCCGTGAATCGTTTAGCACCAAATAAAGGTCAAATCTTAGTCTACAACCTTAATCCTTCAAGTTTGACCCAAGGTCAAACTGGTCAACAGTCAACAAAGTCAATGGGCTCCACGCCGTGGTAAGTCCTTGACCGCGTCGTGGCCAAGTCTAGACAAAACAGACACGATGTAGCTTTTTAACCATGTCGTGGTCAGCTACTCACCATTCCGTGGTCTCGATCAGAATTGTGAAACATCCTAAAAATACGGTCCAAAAATTTCGTTTTAATTTATAAATAAAACCATAGTAATCCGAATAATCTCATAAAAACATAAATGATGATATCTCAAAACATCATATCAAAACACTGTATCAAAATCACATGTTCGAATATCAGAGTAAATCATCCCAGGCTAAATGTTGTGGTGTGTGCGATGTAGTCATCCCGAGCTCTTCCCTTTACTAGCGGAAGTACCTGAAACTAAAACTGAAAAGTGTAAGCACGAAGCTTAGTGAGTCCCCCCAAACTACCACATACCATACACATAGTTACATAATAACATACATTGGGCCTTGCCCACTACATCGGGCCCCGCCCGGCATCGGACCTAAGTCCGGCATCGGGCCCCGCTCGGCATCGAGCAAGCTCGGTATACATATCAACATATCGACAATACACATAATAAGCACATAAAATAAACATATAAACATTCCTCGGGCCTTGCCCGACATCAGACCGAAATTCGGAAACATATAAAATAGCATATAAACATTCCTCGGGCTTTCCTCGACATCGGACTGAAGTCCGAAACATATAAACAAGCACATGCAAGAATCACAAAGACATCAAGCATACAAACATTCCTCGGGCTTTCCCCGGCATCAGACCGAAGTCCGGAAACATATAAACACCTAAACCTACATCGGGCCACTGCCTGTGACAACCGTTAATTTTTGGCCAAGTTAAAGTCAACTAAAGTCAACAAGTCAAACCAGTCAACTCATCTAACCCTTGTATATTAGGGTTTCCATTACATTCTTATTGTACAACTCGCAATCCCAATACAAAGTATCACTTAGAGTTTTCACGTGTTCGGAAATTCTAAACCCTAATTATGGCAAGTGATGAAACTATTCGATAAAACATTATTCCTTAACCATCGGGGGCATATAACAATCATAACGAGACTTAACGGTATGTACAAACCTTGCGTTACGAAGCCAAACACTCAAAAAGGTCACAAAAAAGTCTCTCCCAATCTCTTTCACTCTATCTCTCTCTACCTCAAATCTCTCCCAAATCTC